GAAGTAGTACATGGGGCGCCACGACGCCGCAGTTGGGCGCTAGGCGCACCCAAAGTCGAGAAGAGCATAAGTGGAAGTGCTGGCACTACAATGCCAACCATTGGGCACTACAAAGCCAGAAGCAGTCGCCCATCGAGAAAGAGAAAAATTAGTGTTTTAAATTTTTTCGGCCCAATCCAACTCCAACTATTCTTTAAACATTATGGTAGCATAAATACCAACGAAAAGACCTAAATTGGAAAAGGGGACGGCTCAAGAAAAAATGAGAAAATTAGAGATTGATTGAGAGGAATAACGACTGCAAATTGGGAAAAGAATTCAAGCGGCAAACGAGTTTTTCTTAATCTTTTCTTCTCTATGTTATTTCCTTAGTATTTGATTAAGTTATTCTTCTCAATCATGAACTAAATTTTAAATCTAGGGTTAATGTAACCTAACTTGAGACATGTTTGGATTCTAAAATAGTTATTTTCATTGATTTTTCCAATAATTTATTTGTGTTGATTCATGTGTAATGCTTTCGATTCCTGATTAATAATTGAATGATTTGATGCCTTAAATTTCGGCACTTGAGAGAGAGAAAGATTTAGGCGTGATTTAAGAACAATACAACCTAGATTTTGTGAGTTTCAAGATAAATTATGAAATCTTTGAGGCTTGTTCCATTTAAGAACCACGAACTTGATAATTTCTATATTTTTGACTTGGAATAGAGATATTGGAATTAAAGTATAGAGATAAATTTTATTCGGCACTCGAGAGAAGGAATAAAAGTATACTTGGGTTTTTGCCTATAAATTTAGGAAAATTTATAGAAATAACTAGAGAAATTGAAAAACATTGTTGATAGGACAGTGAAATCATTCCATAAGCTTTCTCACTTAGATAAATTTCTTATAAATCGCGTTAAATTGCTTGAGTTGTCATCACATCCATGATAGATTAAAATTAAAACTACGATTCTAAATTTGATTTTCTAGATAAAGTAAAAGCTAAAATAATTATACTACTCAGTAGGAATCAAATATCAATCCATGTGGGTTCGACACTCTACTTTCAATTTTATATTACAAAACTTGACATCGTACACTTGTGGCAATTTTAAGTTATAGAAAATGCATGACAAGTTTTTGATGCCGTTGTCAGAGATTGTTTTATTTAACTTCTACTAATATTATTACTAATTAGTTTTTATTTATTTATTTATTTTATCTTATTTCTATCTATAATATCCCCATTGTTTCTATTTTTAGTTGTGTATGTGAAGAACTAGGAATCTTAACCTATTGCTTGTTGATCCTGAGCCAAAACACACATTTCCTTTTTAAGGGGTAAGTAGAAAGACGAATGTGGCACAATGGTAGAATAGGACGTGAAAGTAGCGATGGAAAATAATCAATAGCAGGCTATTCGGGAATATGTAAGACCCATTGTTAAAGACAACTATTTTGGTATTGCGCGCCCAACTATTCTTGCTAATAATTCGAACTTAACCCAGAACTCAAATGCTCATCTGGGTTATTTTCTGGAGATTTCTGATATAGTGAAGATGAATGGAATTACTAATGAGGCAATTAGACTCCATCTTTTCTCTTTCTCCTTGAGGGATAAAGTCAAGGCTTAGTTCCAGTCACTACCCTATGGTTCTATTACTATTTGGGATGATTTAGCTCAGAAATTTTTCACCAAGTACTTTCCACCTTCCAAGTCAGCTAATTTCGAAGCAATATTTGTCAATTTAGATAATCTAACTTTGAACCATTTTACGACATTTGGGAGAGATTTAAAGACCTACTTAGAAGATGTCCTCAACATGATTTTCAGATTTGGATGCAAATTAAGATCTTCTACAATAGGTTAAATGGAAAACTAGAACCTTAGTGGATGCAGCTGGAAGAAGAACTCTAATCGCTAAAACAGCTGATGCTGCATATTCATTGTTGGATAACATAGCCACAAATTGCTACCAATGGTCGAGTGAGAGATCAAGCATGGAGAGAGTAGCGGGTCTATATAAAGTAAATCCCATCACAACATTAGCAGATCAGGTCTCATCACTTACTAATCAGATAGCTACACTTACTACATGAAGTAATTAGCAGAAGACAGATTTGGTTATGGCTACTTCTATAGCGCATCAAGAGACACAAATAGAAAATGAGCAGGTTCAATATGTCAACAACAAGAACTTCAATCAAGGAAGAAATTACTCTTCCAATCACTATCATCCAGGACTAAGAAATCATGAGAATTGATCATATGGCAATAATAGGAACACACTTCAACAACCGCCTCTGTTCAGCACTCAAAATTTTGAAGGAAAGCCATCCTTAGAAGACATCCTTTAGACTTTTATTTCTGAGACAAGATCGCAGTTCAACAAAGAGGAGTCATATTTGGATAGTATCGAGACACATATGACCAACATGGAAGCTATAATGAAAAATCTTGAGGTTAGGATTGGTAAGTTGGCTATATCAATAAAGTCTCAACAACAAGGAAAGTTTCCAAGTGATACAGAGGTGAACTTGAAGAAGCATTGCAAGGATATTACATTGAGGAGTGGCACGAAAATTGGAGAAAGTATGCCTATAGAAGTAATGACTCCTATTCCTGATAAGGAGGAAGAGCGGTTAAATGCAGACCAGGGAAATCAGGGCGAAAAAAATGTAGAAGGTTCACAAGCTTCATTCCATATCATTCCCTAATAATGCACCAATCATCAAGCCAATACTTTCGTTTCCACCTTTCAGTATTATTGTGCAAAACGTCACTACCTTTCATATTTTGACATTTTCACCCTTATTTCATATTTCATTGAGAAAATCATTATTTTCATTCATTTTCTCAATTAAAAGTTGTAAAATAACAAATATACACCACTATTTAAATAAACAAAAAAAAAAGAACAAATTGCAATTATACTCCCAATTTTTCAAAAAAGTACAAATAAATAATTAAAAATAACCGATTTTTTAATTATTTATTTGAAATTTATTTATACTTTTTTGAAAATTTTGGGAGTATAGTTACAATTTATTCTTTATTTTTGTTTATTCAAAGAGGATCGTATATTTGTCATTTTACGGCTTTTAATTGAGAAAATGAATAATAATAATAATAATTTTTGCAATGAAATATTAAAAAAGGGTGAAAATATCAAAAAATGAAAGGTAGGGACGTTTTGCAAAATAATAATGAAAGGTAAGGATGTTTTGAGCTAATTACTTTTTTATAATTTAGTTAAACTCATTTGCACTTTCTTTTAAAAAGTTTGGGAGTATGATTACAATTTATTCTTTAATTATTCTTTTCTTTTTTATTGTTTTATTTGAATAGGGGATATATTTATCATTTTACACGAGAAATTTGATGAAAATGATGATTTTCGCAATAAAAGGTGAATGTAAGAGTAGAAGTGCCAAAAAATGAAAGGTAGTGATATTTTGCATAATAACATTGAAAAATAAGGATGTTTTATGTTAATTACCCCAGTGCAATTCTTCAAAAGAAGCCCCCTCAGAAAAGGAAAGATCCAGATAGCTTCACTATTCCCTACACCATTGGAGGCACCTCTTTTGATAAAGCCATTTGTGATCTTGAAGCTAGCATCAATTTGATACCCTTTTCAGTATTCAAAAAGTTAGGTCTCGAGGAAGTCAAGCCAACAACAACCTTGCAATTAGCTGATCGATTCTTTACATATCCACGAGGGATTATTGAAAAAGTATTGGTAAAAGTTGATAAATTTATCTTCCCAGTTGACTTCGTGGTTTCGGATATAGAAAAAGATCAAGAGATTCCACTAATTCTAGGTAGACCATTCTTAACAACTGGAAAAGCTCTAATTGATGTACAAGGAGGACAGTTGACTTTGAAAGTAAATGAAGAAAAAGTGATGTTCAATATCTACCAGGTAATGAAATTTTTGGATGATACCAACACTTGTCATAGAACTGACTTCATTGACTCTGTAGTAAAAGAGGAAAGTATATTTATCGAGGACCCCTTGAAGCATTGTATGATAATTAGTGCAACATGATTACATATAAAGTAAAGACTTGGTTGATTGTATACTGGCTCTTGAGTGTTCAACAATTGAAGATAATTCATCATAAAGAGAAGACATTCAACCGTCAATGGGACCTAATGACATCAAGGGCAATGAAAGCAATAAGGCTGAATTGAAGCAACTTCCAGATCATCTTTGATGTGATTTTTGAAGGAAAAATATCTCTAGTGATCATTTCTTCCCCACTCACAGGGATGAAGAGGACAGATTGTTGAAAGTGTTGAGAGAACATAAGGCTGCTCTGGGTTGGTCTATAGCTAATATCAAAGGTATAAGTCTTACAGTTTGCATGCACAAAATCCTCATGAAAGAATCTTAAAAATCATCCATTGAACATCAGAGAAGATTAAACCCGGCTATGAAAGAAGTGGCTATGAAAGAAGTGGTGCGGATAGAGATCCTAAAGCTACTGAAGGTAGGGATTATATTTGTTATTTTAGACAGTGAATGGGCTAGCGCAGTACATGTGGTGCCAAAGAATGGTGGGACGATAGTAGTCAAGAATGACGACAATGAGCTGATTCCAACGAGAACAATAACTAGTTGGAGGGTCTGCATTAATTACGGGAAGCTGAATAAAGCAACTAAAAAAATCACTTTCCACTTTCATTCATTGATCAAATGTTTTACAGATTAGTAGGCTATACTCACTACAATTTTCTTGATTGTGACTCGAGCTACAATCAGGTTGCAATAGCACCAGCAAATCACAAAAAACAACATTCACCTGTCCTTATAGGACTTTGGCATACAGACGGATGCTATTTGAATTATGTAATACACCAACCACTTTCTAGAGATGCATGATAGTAATCTTTGTAGACATGGTAAAGGACATCATAGAGGTATTTATGGATGATTTTCTGTATTTTGTACTTCTTTTGATAATTGCCTTCACAATTTCCCATTAGTGTTGCAAAGCTGTGAAGAAAAGAACTTAATTCTTAACTAGGAAAAATGTCATTTCATGATACAAGAAGGAATTGTGCGAGGCCACCATGTTTCAACAAGGGGACTTGAAGTTAACATGGCTAAATTGATACAACAGTAAAGTTATCACCACCCACCAATGTCAAAGGCATTCGGAGTTTCTTGGGACTTGCCGAGTTTTACTGGAGATTTATTAAAGACTTTTCGAAGATAGCCAAACCTCTGTGCAACCTTTTAGAAAAGGACACCACATTCGTGTTTGATGAAGACTGCCGAAAGACATTTGAAGCTATAAGAAAAATTAGTTATAGGTCCAGTGATGATAGCACTGGATTGGGGTCAACCATTGAAGCCATGTGTGATGCCAGCGACTACGCTGTCAGGGCACTTCTAGGACAAAAGCATGGAAAGATATTCCGAGCAATTCATTATGCTAGCAAAACTCTGAATGGAGCTCAGATGAATTATACCACAACAAAGAAGGAAATGTTAATAGTGGTCTTTGTATGTGACATGTTCACATCCCATCTTATTGGTACCAAAGTAATCATTTTCGCAAATCATGTTGCAATCTGATATCTATTCAAAAAAAAAAATATGCCAAGCTACTTCTAATTCAATGGATCTTGCTGTTACAAGAGTTTGATGTAGAGATTCGGGATAAGGAAGTGAGAATGTCGTTGCTGATCACCTCTCATGGTTAGAGAATGAAAAGGTGATAGATTATAGCAAAATCTAAGAATTTTACTTGACGGGCTTCAGTTAGCAATTTCATCAAGGATTAAATGGTACATTGACTTTGCTAACTACTTGGCGTGTGGAAAAATGCAACCTGACTTGACCTTCCATCAAAAGAATAAATTCTTATACTATGTTAAGTCATATTTCTGGGATGATCCGCTACTCTTCAAGAGATGCGCTGATATGATAATCAGGAGGTGTATCCCTATGAAAGAAGTACAATCAATTGTGGAGCATTGTCATTCCTCACCTTATGGAGGTCATTTCGGTCCTACACGTACTACTTCCAAGGTGTTACAATCGGAATTTTATTGAACAACTCTTTTCAAAGATTGTTATGCTTTTGTAAAGACATGTGACTGTTGTCAATGCATGGGGAATATTTCAAGATATCACGAACTTGCATTAACTAATATGCTTGAGGTGGAGTTAATTGATGAGTGGGGTATAGACTTCATGGGTCCTTTCCCACCATTCCTTTGGCCAAGTATATATTCTTCTTGTAGTAGACTACGTATCCAAGTGGGTTGAAGTCACTGCTACCCCAACGAATGATGCAAAGGTAGTTTTGAAGTTTCTACAGAAAAACATTTTCACTCGATTTGGCACGCCTAGGGAAATGTAAGTAATGAAGGTACACATTTTTGCAACAAACTTTTCAATTTTCTTTTGGCTAAATACAATGTCAGGCACAAATTAGCACTTGATTATCATCTCCAATCAAATGGGCAAGCAGAGATTTCCAAACGGGAAAATTAAACTAATATTGGAAAAGATGGTGAACACGAACCTCAGAGATTGGTCTCAAACGCTTGAGGAAGCACTACAGGTATATGGGACAATCTTTAAAACACCAATTGGAATGTCATCTTACCGCCTGGTATTCGAGAAAGCATGTTACCTACCGGTTGAATTGGAGCATCTATCCTATTGGGCTGTGAAGAAGTTGAACTTGGATATGAAATTAACTGGTTCATAGCGCTTGTTGTAACTTGATGAATTGGAGAAATTTTAGTACGATGCTTATCAAAATGCAAAGATATACAAAGAGCGAACAAAGATGTGGCATGACAAGAGAATCCTCAAGAGAGAATTCAAACCAGGAGAACAGGTTCTTCTACTCAACTCTCGCTTGAAACTGTTTCCAGAAAGCTTAGGTCATGGTGGCCGGGACCATTTGTGGTTCGTAAAGTTTTCCCTATGGTTCAATGGAGATAGTAACCAAAGATGGATCCAACTTCCAGGCGAATAAAGAGGCTCATGACTCGTTATAATTAAGTGACCATTTGGTCATTGAAAATTTATTATTTTTATTTTTTTCCCTTCTACTATAAATACCCCGTAACTCCCTCCTTTTTTTTCATATCAATTACTCAATCGCTACTTCAACTCTTTCAAGTCTCAACTCTCTTATCGAGTTTTTACTCTCTTGTGCTACAAAATATACAATATCGATTCAATTTTTACAGTTTATTAGTTACAATTTCAATTTATCCAATTCTCATTCTCATAATCTCACTACATTTATATATTTCTAGTTATTATATTTAGATTTCATCATAAACAATCAAACAAATGGACCAATGTTCATTTGTTGAGAGCTTATTCGATATGGGATGTGGGCCACATCATAGAGAATTGCCTAGGACGCCGCAAAGTCAATTTTCAAAGGAATTTGCCGATTTAAATGACATACCCATACCTGAAGATTTTCACATTCATGGTCATGGAAGCTACAATCCAATTGATTTGGATGATATTAACGTTCCCGAAGCGGAACATGAGGACGAAGATGCCGAATTAAACATACCAGATGCAAGAGGAAAGCGAAAGGGCAAAAATAAGCAAAATGTTGTGATCACTTTAAGTTGATTTCAACGGGAAAAGTCGTCGATGGCCTTACAGAATCTAAAACAGTATGTAAATACTGCCAACAAAAATTGGCATGACAAAAATGAATTAGTACCACCCATCTCAACCGCTACTACAAAGCATGTGCGGCCAGACATTGACTTCTTCCAGCTGGTCAAACACAATTGCAATTTGGCAATCCAAGCGTCGATTTTACGACTTCACCCCTATTCACGTTGGTGTATTCAGAGGATAATACTCGAACAAGAATGGTGAAATTTGTTGTCGCCACTGAGTTGCCTCTGGCTATTGCAGACAACCAACACTTCTTCTCGTTCGTGAAAAAACATTGCAACCAAGGTATGTTGGGGTAAGTCGAAACACTCTTCGTGTCGATACAATACAATATTTCAATAATTCAAAACAACAATTAATTATGAATTTGCAACAATATGGGGTGTTATATATTTAACTTCTAATATATGGAAAGAGGTTAATAAAAGAGCATATATAGCTACAAAATCACACTATATAGACCCACTTTGGTGCATGCATAAGAAAATTATTCTTTTAAAATTATTGAGTTTCCTCACAATGCTATTAATATATATAATGTTCTTATTAGTATTGTTAGAGAATATAATTGCGACACTAAAATTCGGTCTTTTACTTTTGATAATACTAGTGTTAATAAGGTAGTCGTCGATAAATTGTGTAGGACACTTCAACTTGATTTTGGTCGGTATTGTTTCATATTCGTTGTGTGTGTCATATTTTGAATTTAATTGTGCAAGATGACTTAAAACATATAAATGATGAACCTCAAAGGATTAGGAATGCATAAGTATATATTACGATCTCTTTTAGTAGAAAACAAGCATTTGAAAATTTTTGTGCTGAACTATGGATGACGACTACTAAAACATTTGTTAGCGACATAGGTCATAGATGAAACTCTACTTACTTGCTATTAAAGTCATATGAAGGTTTCAAAAATTTAATAACTGACTTTTATAATAATAGATACGTTAAAAGTGATGACAATAGTATGTTAAATGAATTCGATTGGATTTTAGCTTTGAAAGTTAAATGATTTTTGACATCTTTTATGGGACTACAAAATTTTATCCGGCGTTTATTATCCTACAAGCTGTATGGTGCTTGAACGTCCTTTATATAATTGTAAGAACATTTCATAAATATAAAAATAATCCTACTTTTAGTGATATTATAATTGCTATGAAATTAAAGTTCAGAAAAATATTGAGAAGAACTGCCTATATTATTTCCTTTAGCATGCGCAATGGACCCCCGATATAATATTTCGGGAACTAAATACGTAATTGATCAAATCAATAAAGTTTTAATACTTGATACATCTATCACCTATAAGAATTTAGAGCAAATATTATGTGGAATGTATAATTTATATGCGAAAAGAATGGATG